ACGTACCCATCAGAAAAGGAAAGGTGCCCATAGGAGCCTGATTTGTTTCTCGTGGTCAGAGCATCCTAAAAATTAAGGCAAAGCAGTCTCAATAGCTATGTTCCTTTGATTCTTTCATATTTTTTGGGAGTTGGAGGGCATAAAAGGAAGGCAAGAAACCAATAAAGATTTAAGTGGATGGAGACAACCTGGAGAGGACAGTTATCCCCCCTCCCCTCACCCCACCTTAGGTAGTCATTTAGAGCTCCAATTATCTTATAGAATTTGTAATTCTCAAAGTCATTTCCACTAACTGTGATAATTTTCTTTTAGCAGAGAACTTAATGCAAACCTAGAATGGTGAGTGTTGTGAGATTTGCATTGGGACTAGGAGCATAAAAAGACTGCCGCTCCTAAGTGGGCTGGGCAATTTGAGAAGGAAAGGGGAAGCATGGTCAGGAATAAAAGATGGCGGTGGTGGAAAGGGAACTGGCTGGTCTGTGTGTTTGGGAGAAAAGGAGAGAGAGCTGCTGTGTGGCTCTAAGTCTCAAACTTCCTTTTCTTTTAATACTCAACTTCTCTCTAGAGTCACAATGCATGCCTCCCATGCTTTTCTCAGTTTCCTGCTCAGCCCAATCATATCCCTGAGCACCCCTGTCTCAAGAAATCCTACTCTGCTTACGGTGATGGGTGGAGAAATATGTTCCTTGCAACTCACATAGAGCAGTCAGTGGATGTCCTAGCCTTGAAGAACACAGTGTGTGCACTAGCTCTGTTGGCTTAGGTTTAAGTACCATAAATAATGTTATGGGAGTCCCCAACAACCAACTGACAAACTTTAGGACTGCCCAATGCACCAAATGCTCGGAAGGTTAGGCATTGCACCTAGTTATTTAGAATTGCAATGCTGTTATTTTGTACTTCCTGGTTTGAGCTGCCCAGCTGTGACTAAGAGTATGCTTTCCACTGGAGAGTGCCATCCAAAGCATTTTAGAGAGGTCTGAGGCAGAAGCCAATTATTGTTTTTTTTTTTTTTAATTTTTTTTTTCAACGTTTATTTATTTTTAGGACAGAGAGAGACAGAGCATGAACGGGGGAGGGGCAGAGAGAGAGGGAGACACAGAATCGGAAACAGGCTCCAGGCTCTGAGCCATCAGCCCAGAGCCCGACGCGGGGCTCGAACTCACGGACTGCGAGATCGTGACCTGGCTGAAGTCGGACGCTTAACCGACTGCGCCACCCAGGCGCCCCAACCAATTATTGTTTTAGTGAAACCAACTGCCAAGGAAAAAAGTTGTAACAGTCAATACTTCCAATGATATGGATATTCAGAAATGGTTTCTTTTCAGTGCTTTTGTATGAAGTGAGATACATACCAGGGTAGGGAATGAGTCTCCTTGCAAGCTGCACTGTTGGTAGAGGGTGGGCGGAAGGTTTAAGAGCATGAGAACTTCTGTTATTTATTCCCATTCTGCTCTGCTATTAGATCTCCAGACATTCACCCACTAGGTAGAATGGTTGTCTATGAACATATCAAGATTTCCTCTGCCACCTCACCTCTGGGTGAGGGTTTCTCTGCTGGGGATACTCTAGTATAGGGACTGGGTTACTAGGAACAATCCAGATGAGAAATTTAAGAAGATAGTTTATTCTGTTTCCAAATGTGTTACAGAGGGCCACTGAAAACAATGGAAGCCCTCCTAAGCTGACAATGGATGACACTGATAAAACCTGACGAATTGGGGGCAGTGAAAAGATGGAGAAGTTATATGTATTATGTGCTATCTCCAGCTAAATACCCCTTACTTCTGGTTGGATACAGCAGCCAAAAGCAGAGGAAATTATGTGTTCTATACACTAAGCACTCTTGCTAATTCAAGACGTTTTGCTCCTTTCCTCAGCGGATAGATGTGGCACGATCACAGGAATCTAAGATGAAAGAGAGTCACTTCTTTGCTTGATTCCCCCACCCACCCCTCCAGCTTGCACAGGCAGGGAAATAATGATCAGGTGGGGCTTTGGCTTAGATCAGGAGTGAGATCCAGCCTTGGTTCTGGTGGCAGTGGCTACAGGTCTCATTTCACAAGCAGACCAGAGCACACCTAGTTAAATCACACCACGTTCAGTCCAGGGAGCAAACAATGCTTACAGCAGACAAAGAGAGCATCTGCAGGTGACTGGCCTGAAGGTTAAAGCAGCCAGGAAAAAACAGCAGAGCACACACAAAACACAAGGGAAGGTACCAGGCCCTGGGGAAAGGGAATATCACACGACAGGGCACTATAGGACCTCTCCTTCATAAGGCCATTACCCTCCAGATCAGGAGAGAGATCAAGAGGCTGAGGGGTAAGTTGGGTGGGCTGAGGTGGATGTGCAGTAGGAGGAGGGTGTATGGAATGCAATAATGTTCAAGTCATCAAAATGGAGAATGTAAGCTGAGCAGGGATGAAAGGAATCAGACTTACTTCGGAGGGTGACATAGCAACCCAAGGGGGTAGAAATTTCTACTGAATTCCCAACAGCATGCAAGGCAGGGAACTCGCGATGTTTCCTCCACCTCGTTTAAGAAGCCTCATTTGGTGTACTCTATTCTGTTCTTGGCCCCTCAATCTTTTCCCACTTTTAGGAGGAGGGTGTTTGTCAATTAGAAGCCAAAGGAATAAAAAAAAGCATTTATAGAGCCCAAGGAGGATTAAACATATGACTCGTTATGTAATAATTTGTAATCCCCTGAAGTCAGCCATTTCCTTTCCCCATGAAGGTCAAGATCAGGATCCAGGGATGGTGTGAACTTTGGGGGTGTCAGGAGGATGGTCCAGAGAGGGCTGAGAAGAGTGAGCTTTCTCCTTCTGATTCCTGAGGGTGTGTTCTTAGTGGTCTCCCCACTCACAGGGCAGGTATTAGGCATACTGACAATTTCTAAGAGCCCAAAATGATCTGTACACACTGCCTTGTGATGTACATAGCAGATATCCTACTACTTGTGCTTCTCACAGGGCAGCCTAGTGACTGACTGGTTATATTGGCAACAGCCACTCTCAGTTTCATAGAATAATAATAGGAATACTAATAGCCACAACCAAAGCCGCCCTATTAGCACCTGCCATGTGGCAGGCACTGGGCTAGTTTTACTTTCATGATCCAGTTTAACCCTCCTGTCTCCCTGTATAATTAACATTGCAGCCCCCACTTTCTATAGGAGGAGACTGAGACTGAAAGGTCAAGTGATCTTATATGATTCTAATTCCACCTGTTTAATTCGGAAACCTCTTTTCACTGTGCATTAAAGCCAAGCAGAAAATTGCGGAGGTATGCACGAACCTGCGAAAAGCAAAAATAAATTTGAATGTGTAGGAAGATTATTAATAGCAGGCATGAAAGCTCCAAGCTCTCCCCTGAAGCGGCAGGATAAACTTCATGATTTTTGTCATTCACAGTGAAATTGGACACATTCCTACAAAGTAGTCTGGGTTGAAGGGAAGTGTTGGGATTGGGAAGGAAGGCAGGGGTTGCTGGAGACAGTTGGGATGCACGGAGGGGAAGCCAGCGTCTGCCTCTCATTCCTGGCCTGTAAAGAGCAAGTCTCCCTCAGTTACATTAGAACATTCTAGACTTTGTGGGGTTTTGTTTGTTTGTTTGCTTGTTTTAGAACATTCTAGACTTTGAGTACTGATGAGGAAAGTGAGAGGAGATAAAAGGCACCTGAAGTGTTGGGACGATAGCATCAGTGCTGGCCACGAAATACCTGGGACAGCAGGAAAGTGGCTCAAGCACGCTCAAAGCTTCAATTAAATTAGGTGGAGTGAGAGAGAGAAGCAGGACAATTGCAGGATGTGCACAGCCATCTCCTCCTAGGTGGGGACATCCACATATCCACTCTGCTGTGAATAACCTCCAGCCCTTTCCTTTTGAAGTCCCTTGAGCCTATACTGCATCGTAACTCTTGCGGGCATGATAAGGCACTCCCTCCGCAGCTGACATAAATCAGAATAGCCACTCCCATGTGCATCCTGCGTATTTTCTTTATGATCAGTGGGCTCCCTTTTTCTCCTCTGCGGAGATGATGGCTGAACGCTTTTGTTATCCATACCCATTCTTAATGCATATTACTTCCCAGTCCTCCTCGCACGTGAGTTATGCATTTGCCTGTCTTCTCCATTGGGTCCTGAAGGATCGGACTTTGTGTAAATGCCACGCACAAATAGATGGCACCTTTAGTGGTGTTTCAGGCTGCATGCTTCTAAAGCCCCAGAATCGACATCGTGCATCAACAGAAATACAGCACTGTGCCCTAGACAAACAGCAGAGTCCCTACCATGAGCCACACACAGCCCAAAGGCTCAGGTGCAGTAACACAAGTCTGAAATGTTCAATCAGTAGGTGATCAGACCATTAAACTGTAATTAGGTTGTTATAATTATTGAATACCAAACAACATTATAATAACAGAAGTTGCGGCTCTCACATTTTATAGCTCACCCGGGATCAAATTAGTGGCCTATTCAGTCTCTGGGCATAGTAATAGCTGCTGTTCTGTAGAAGGAATCCACTTCTATCAATATCACTGGGTGAGCAGTTTGATAGAGGCACGGACCCTTCCTCAGTTGAAAATGGAAATTTATATGACATCGTTGCACAGAGACCTGGAAGTTGCAACTGTGAAAAGGCCTTTTAAAAATCCAAGTTTTACTTTTTGGTGCTTACAGCACAAACGAGATAAAACACCAACGGTGATAAAATGTGGGCTTTTCTTTTTTGAAACAGGCTGTATTAGAGAGAGGAGTATATAAATCCTTGAGAAGCAGAATTATGTTTATATTGAGGTGTATGTAAGCAGACGAATAGGCGCTTAGGAAACTAGGTGAATAAGATGTTTCTAGGAATTTATAATGAAATTGTGATGGTTTTTATTGCAGCTCCTCCTGACTTTAGCAGATAGTCCACGCATGTGGGAAAGCTGAATCATCTTCCTGAAACTGACAGTAACCTTTTTTTCCCTCCTTTACCTTCTGTCTTTTCAGAATTCTCTTCGCTCTTGAAGCATCAAGAAGCCAAGATGCTGGTATTACTAGCTGGTATCTTTGTGGTCCACATCGCCACTGTCATCATGTTGTTTGTCTCCACCATTGCCAATGTGAGTAACGTTCTTTTTTCCATGCATTCACCCAGAAGTTATTTGGATATTTATATAAAGCGCTACAAAAGAAGTTTGAGCCACAACCCCTGCCCCTTGTGAATATACAGTTTAGTTGTGGAAAACAATAAACACACGCGCGCACTACCAACGATTAAACAGCGGGGGGGATAAAAGCCAGGGTCAACAGCCAGGGCTCTAGGTGTCTAGGGGCTGGAGAAGACGATGAGACTTCTTCGGTCTGTAGTAGAATCTTCTCCGGAGGTGGAGCTTGGAGGATGGGCAGATGGGCGGGGTCTCTTGGCAGGCGATGAATCGAGGAAGGAGTAGGGACGCATTCCAGGCAGGAGCCCTAGCCAGCCGAGGTGCCTGCCTCCTTGAGGGAGAACCTTTGTTCAGGGCGGAATGAGGACAGCCATGTATGCAGCAGGAGCAGAACTTCTCTTCCTTCTGGGAACCTTGATTAGAAGGATAGATGGGAGACAGAGGATGAGAAGCTGTGGTTGCCAGACTGACACATTCAAACTCTGAGCTGAGAGTAGCACGTGAAAGTGGCATTTTGCGTGATTAACCTGGCTCCACGGAATTAACTCACTTAAACAAAACAACATAAAAATATGGAGGTAGCAGGAGCCTTTTCTCTCCGAAGCTTGGGCTACTCTGACCTCTAGTGGTAGTCGATAGCATCACATTTGCTTTTGTTGCGCTTTTCTCAGAAAGAGACAAGACAGCTCCTCGCACACAAAAATCAAGGCCACCCATCACTAGATGGGCCAACGGTGGTTCCAGAATCTCTTTAGGTCCATGTCACTGTGAAAGAACAAATGGGCTTTAAAGTTCAGATAGAAGAGTTTGCTAACATGGGGGGGGGGTGTGATCATAAGCAGGGCTAATTTAAGTACAACTCTGATAAGACAGAATCGCCGCCCATGAGGCCTTCTCTAGACTGTAGGTTGGCCATTCTATACACCAGCCCCTAAGTCTCTCAGAATAACGACAAGCCCAATGAACGACTTCAAACCGCAGAAGTGGAGGCCAAGAGTGCTGAATGTCTGAATTATCAGCTCCTAATACAGGGCTTGGCACCTACCTGTTTCTTGAATCAAGAGCCGGTGATCACACGTTCTTGGACGTGTCCTTCCAGCAATGCTCATTCTAACAGGTGCTGTGTGTGGACAAGTGGATGCTTGTTTTTCAGAAGAAGAATGGTTTTTCTTGGTCCAGGTGGGAAGGGACACTGGCCCCACAGTGAGCCTTGGGGAATCCGTTTTGGTCACTCTTCTACTTTTAGGGGCCTCGACATTCTTCTGTTTAGATGAAAGTGGCTTCTTGACACGCGGCCCCAGAGAAGCTGTGTGATTTGTCTTTAGCCACACACTCTTCCATCTTTCCTCTTGGGACCTTTGTGACTTCGGTTTGAGTCACATGTCACTTCCACCAAGGGATGGGGGTGCTGAGCCGTATTTGTGGCTCAGTACTGTGTATTGCTTAAGATTCGATCCCGGCACAAACCTGATTTGTTATTCCTTTTTCTTTTAAAGCAGAGGGTGAGTTTTTCAACCACCGTTTGTTTCCTTTTGGTTTCAGGTCTGGGTGGTTTCAGATGATACAAAAACATCGGTAGGTCTTTGGAAAAATTGCACGGGTGGCAACTGTGATGGAGCCCTGTCGTATGCCAATGAAGGTATGTATTCAAGGGCTGTGCTTGGTCCTGAGGGTTGGGGTGATCAGAGAAAAGTCCAGTCCATCCGGGACGAGTTAGTCTAATACCCTTGTTCTCCTCCTCCTGTGTCCACAGATGCCCTCAAGGCCGTGCAGGCTTTCATGATCCTCTCCATCATCTTCTCCGTCATCTCTCTCGTGGTCTTCGTGTTCCAGCTCTTCACCATGGAGAAGGGAAACCGCTTCTTCCTCTCGGGGGCCACTATGCTGGTGTGCTGTGAGTATCGCAGTGGTGGGCTCCCATTCGTGCAGGAAAAGCTTTTATGCGGGTCTTACCGAGGGTGCTCCCGGCAACTCGGACAGACAAGCACATGGCTCAGTGAAGTCACTTTGGACAGCTTTGTCCCCCGGTTGTTTGTTCTCTTTTTGAGAACCCCTGATCGCTGCTTGGAATGAGTGCTGTCAGTTGCTTCATTGTTTAAACCTTGCGCTCCTGGGGCTGCCCTGTCGCTAGTCCTTGTACAGTGGACACTTGAGGGCAGGAAGCTGGCGGTCCTTAGAGAGCCGAAGCCACTGCCTCAATGCATGGCCTTAGTGCTGTTCTTATTCTTCGTCCTTCTTCCCAAACACACAGAATTTGGTGAGAGGCTGTGTTCTTTTGTATCCTGGGCAGCCTGCCTACATACGCGGGGGTCCAGAAGGGAAAGCTGAGTGGCGGACATGAAGTTCTGTGTTTTGCTTCACACTTTTAGCTTCTCAGAGCAGTAGAGATATGAGAGCCCAAACACCTCTAGTTTACCAACACAACCATCGAGGTTGGTCCAGGGCAAATCATAAGAACAACACTTTGGGGCTAAGTGGCCAGATTTTATCCTCCCGATGAGGGAAATAGGATCTTTTAAAAATTATACAATCGGGGCGCCTGGGTGGCTCAGTCGGTTAAGCGGCCGACTTCGGCTCAGGTCATGATCTCATGGTCCGTGAGTTCGAGCCCCGCGTCGGGCTCTGTGCTAACAGCTCAGAGCCTGGAGCCTGTTTCAGAGTCTGTGTCTCCCTCTCTCTGACCCTCCCCCGTTCATGCTCTGTCTCTGTCTCAAAAATAAATAAACGTTAAAAAAAAAAATTAAAAAAAATTATACAATCTTTTTTCTTTGTTTTAATGTAAACAAACAAACAAACAAACCTAAACTTTTTTTTCCCCTCTTGCAGGGCTGTGCATTATGGTCGGGGTGTCCATCTATACTCATCATTATGCCAGTGGTTACGGAAACCTCTACATTAAGAGTCACCATGGCTATTCCTTCATCCTGACCTGGATCTGCTTCTGCTTTAGCTTCATCATTGGCATTCTCTATCTGGTCCTGAGAAAGAAATAAGGCTGAACAGATTCATGGGGATCCGGGGGGGTGGGGGTGGGGAGAAGGAAGCCGTTGAATCTGGGAGGGAAGTGGAAGATGCCATGCAGGAAAAACCAAGAGAGGGGCGGGGGGCGGGGAGGGGAAGTAAGGGTGGGAGAGGCTGAAACCCAAACCATTCCTGAGGAGGTTCTCTATGGTGGAGCCCCTGCCCTTAGGAGAAAGTAATTGGCTAGTACTCTGCTGCTCCCTTGATGCGGGCCCCAGGAGAGCCTCTCTCCAGCCACCACACTTGGCCTCCAACTGTTACACACACTGGGGCCCCATCAGCTGCCACACCACTGGCTCCACTCCTGAGGCTGAATTCTGGGTCTCGCACTGCGGTCCTCAGACCTATTGCATCAAGTTAAAATAGCGGTACAAGTTCCAGCAAGAGCAGATCTTGTTCTGGGGTTGAATATGCTAAGCCTGGAAGCCATTCCGCCTTTCTGACCCAAACCAAAACATCACATTCCAGTCTGAAGGACCCACAGGAGGGTTATGGCCAGTGAGCCATTATCCCTCTTTAGAACAGATATTTAACTCTGTGGAACTCAGTGGTATTTGTGACAAAAATGGGAGAAAGAGATACAGTCCTAAGGCCAAATTGGTGGATTGCTTAAACCAAGAAAGAGAACTTTTCACAGTGGAAGGCCTGGGGGATGGTCAGAACTCAGACAAGACCTCACGCGGCTGTCCCTCATGGAGACCTCTCGCTATGGACTTTGCTAGGCCTCTTGCTTAAAGCCAAAGCAGCTCTTCTGGTGATTCTGTAAAGCCACTAGTGACCAATTCAGTGGTGAAAGTACCACGCAAGTTATGGGACCAAGGGGCAGTTTTGTGACACTGCAACAGTAGGGTTATGTTTTTAGGACCCCCTGTCCATACAGTCAGTATTTCTTTTAAGTACATGATGGGAGAGAGATGGACACGGTTCCCCGTGACACGATTTATTACCCTCCCTCTCAATGATAACTTTTGAGGATGTTTTGTCTAATTATACACATTGGGGATCAGGACTCCTAGGCTCAGCGCTGACTCTCGCTTTGACTCTGCCTGGAGTAGCCACCTTTCAGAGGCCCTGCCTATCCCACTTCACAGGTGATGCGGGGCCGTTCTGGAAGCTTAGTAAAACACACACGAACCAAAACCAAATAGATCCTTGGGTTAAAGGTGCTATATAATTGTGAAGTATTAAGCATACTAGATTTCGGTTGTGGTAAGAACACAGGGCCTGCATTCCCAGGAAAGTTAGAAAATTCCCATGGGATAATTAAAAATATAGGTGATGGGCAGATAATTTCTTTAAGGAAAAAAAAAAAAAAGCAAAAACTCTTGTGGTACCCAATCAGATAGTAACTGGCTGTCTGTTGCCATAGGAGCATTTCTATATAGGACTTAGTTGCAGTATGTTATTCCTGGTTAAGCAGGCATTGCTCTGGCCTGGAGGAGCTGTTTCAAGCCATCTCAGATTCTGTCTAAAGGGGTTGTTATAGGAAGACGTTTCCTCTATTGCCTGAGAAGATCTAGCCCAGGGAGAATCTGAGACATCTTGCCTACTTTCCTTCTCCTAGCTCTCTCCTTAACCCGTTTCTCACATGATTTTCCTCTTTGGGGAGTTGTTATGCCATGACTAGTGGTATTTATGTAAAAGGACCATGACTAAGTATATTTCTCTGTGTTCATTCTGGTTAAGGGAGTATTGAGGGCAGGCCACCAGATTATCGTGGCTGGGGGTAGAGAGACGGCAAGCCAAAACTGCAGGACGATGACCTTTTTAATTGTGACTTAATCATCACAAGATTATAGAAGGCTGTCTTATGTGCAGAAACACACTTACGTATCAGATATACCCAAAAGGGATACTTGCGTTAGGTTGGAAAGTCGAACTATGACTGGAGTGAACCATGTATTGCCTTGTCTTTTACTTTATTTCTGTGACATTTACGTCTCATGTAATTTGCATTACTTTGGTGGGTTGTTCTAGTACTGTATTTGGCTTCTTCTTCAATAGATTGATATTTCATATACTATAATTGTAAATATTTTGATACAAATGTTTATAACTCTAGGGATATAAAAATAGATTCTGATTCCCTTCACCGTGTGAATGTTTTCTTCCTAAAAAATGCAAGAGATGAGGAATAATCATGACATTTATACCTAATTAAGTTGTCAGTCAGTGTGGTTTGGACAACTTGGCATTTATTGGAGACATTAAGTTACCTTCTGGTAATACAGTAGGCATTTCTACAGTAACTCAGCAAGTGAACCTTACTAGGTAGTTTTATCTTGCTTTAATTAAACCTCTTAAAGCAAAAACCAGAATTTTGTAAGCTAATACATGAGAGAGATGTTATGATCTTGAGTCAGAATGACTTATGACATTAAGAAGTGAGATACTCATAAAGTTTCTTTGAAACACAATTCGTCTAACGTGTCTTCAAAATATAAAGCAATTCACAAAGATAAGCATCACATACATACCTTTGCAGAAACCCATTCATTGCATAAACTGGGGCATATCTGTAGGAGCCAGATGAGAAAAGGAAAGCTTTACTGCTCTCTGTGAATAATAAAGACTGGAATTAACAGTGGGAAAGCAGAGTAGATACTGTGTACCCTAGCATCATGTCAATACCCATATCATACAAATGATTTTATTTTTATTTATTTATTTATTTTTTAATTTTTTTTTCAACGTTCATTTAATTTTGGGACAGAGAGAGACAGAGCATGAACAGGGGAGGGGCAGAGAGAGAGGGAGACACAGAATCGGAAACAGGCTCCAGGCTCTGAGCCATCAGCCCAGAGCCCGACGCGGGGCTCGAACTCACGGACCGCGAGATCGTGACCTGGCTGAAGTCGGAGGCTTAACTGACTGCGCCACCCAGGCGCCCCACAAATGGTTTTAATGTGGAGTAGGCACTCTGCCAGTCCCCTGCGGTTTTGGATGAGGTAACAACACAAGGAATACCCAGAAAGCTTACACAATGGAACCTGAAAATGCAACTTCAACATATCTTCAAGTCAATTAATCAAAGCGCATTGATTATTAATACTCTCTCAGAAACCTATGTAATTTCTTAGATTATTTCTGGGATACTATTATAAGAGGCTATTTCTCTCCCTTAGCTCCCCCTAGCATTCTTTCCCTCATGTCGTTTGCCTCGCCGTGGATCAGACCTCCAGAGCACCCTTTTTTTCCCCTTCCTTCTCTAGATCTTTAATCAGAATCTCCAATAAGCTTTCAGAACTTTTCTGCCAAGATGAAATCTTCCACCTCAAAGACCTGGATGATGAATGGGAGTGTATTATTCAGGATTCTCCAGAAAAAACAACCAATAGGATGTGTGTGTGTGTGTGTGTGTGTAAATTTATTTTAAAAAATTGGTTCACATGATTATGGAGGCAGGCAAGTTCAAAGTCTGCAGTGAGAATAGGGTTGGCAGAGGCTGAAGACCCAGGGAAGAGCCAATGCTGTAGTTCAAATCCAAAGACTGCCTGCCGGAAGAATTCTCCTTTGTTTGGGGGGGGTGGAGGTGGTCAGTCTTTTATTCTATTCAACTGATTGAATGAGGCCCACCCGCATTATAGAGGGCAATCTGCTTTACTCAGAGTCCACTAATTTCAATGTTAATCTCATCCAAAACACCCTCACAGAAACATCCAGAATAATGTTTGGCCACATGTCTGGGCACCATGGCTCAGCCAATGTGACACAAAATAAAGCATCACGGGGAAACATTCTTATTAAGGATAAGGCACAAACGTTCTCAGAAATAATTTAAAAGAAGCTTGAGCAGTGGAAATCTTTATGTTTACAGTTGACACTTAGTTCAAATAGTGAAAGAGTAAGACATGGGGTTAACTTCAAAGATGATCTTAGATATCCTATGAAAAGACAGGAAGTTGTCAGAGTCCCTTTTATAGTGGAGCTTAATCAACATTTGTTAAGTTCAATGTCTTAGGTAGAGTCAAATTGAATTAAGGTGGTTAAGAAAGTGCTCTTAGGTGAAACTGGTCCAAATTTATGAATATCAGGAAGATAAGCTACAGAGCTCTCCATTACCGCTCAAGAATGGGGGCTGCAGGCAAGTGGCGACGTTTTTATTCATCAAAGTGATAAACATGAGGTGTCAAATGAGCAATAGACAGCTACACCATTCTGCATTGGACTCAGCCATTACAGTCTCTGTGCCAAACCCCACTGACTTTCAGGCACAGAGAGATCTTTCCAGAGGGCCTTGAATGAAGGTATATGAACAGTAAAGAGAGTATTTGTGCAGGACTCCATACTTAAACAGAGAAGCTCTCTCCTATGTTTACTAAGAAATAGAATAGACCAATATACAGATAAAATTCCCTAGCCAAAAAAAAAAAAAAAAAAAAAAGTACACATGAGGTTAAAAGAAGCCTAGATTTTTGGGAACAGGGGGGAGCGGGGTAAGGTGGTGGGGGGCAGGATGAAAAGAGAAAACTTTGCTGGAAAATTTGGCGTAGATTCTGAAGAGTATCGACTCAACGGAAAGAGGTATTTGCAGTCTAGGGAAACATGCAGCTCTTGAACACAGCAGGTAGGGAAGGATGTCCACTGACTTTGTGGAGCCCAAGGAAAGGAGTGTTTTGGAATGTTACCTAGTCCTGTTTCTGTAAGGGAGACATGTGAAGCCTACTCACGGGGCAGGAAGGTGACCATTAAAACATGTATTGATAAACCACTGGGCGCAAGGTGCTGTACCTGGAGGCTAGCAAATGAAAGATTCAGCAGACATGCTTCCTGTCTTCATCTAATTTACAGTGTAGCAGGGCAGTAAGACTCATACCTAGAGAAAATGGAAGGAGACTCTCTGGGAGCACAGAGGAGATGAGAACTTTGCTATCAGGGGGGAGGATAGAAGAGCGATTTTCAGGTCTTCGTCCCTTTCTCATGATCCTTATCCCACCTCGTGAGCAATTAGCTGACAGCTCCTGTGGATTTTACCTCTGCT